CTCCCGACGGGTACTCGTATCCCGACAAGTGCGGTCCTACAGGTCATGTGTGTGTGTGAGAGTAAGAGGTGAAGAAAGAACAAGAAAGAGGAAGGAAAGATAGCACGCGGTCCGTTGCCCGTTTGTTTGGGTACTACCCTGGCATTCATATGTTATTGAGCGGAGAAACCACGTAAAACTACCGATCAGAGCAGCTGGCCGCTAAAAATCTAATCCAGACAGCGCCTGAATTCGACCTAGTTGACAAGCTAGTGCCGAAAATCCTGCCACCATCGGGACTCAACCGCAGGACCTCCCGGTCAGAGGCAGTGCAGTGACATCAATTGATGCCTTGAGCCTCCAAAGCCGGCTTAAATGAAGCAGAAGAAATGGGTGTAAAAAAGCGATCCTTTTGGCCAGCTGGATCCGTCCACGGGGCCCTGGCCAGGGAGGGCGGCGGGGAGTCAGGGCTGAGAGGGTGTGGAGGGGAGTGGGGGGGCGTGGGCGGCGCGAGGCGAACTACCCCGAGGTGTTCGGGACGCGGTACGTGCCGGCCGCGCCCCGACCGCGCAGCGCGTCAAGGGCGCGTGGGGGCGGGAGGAGCGGGGGTGGCGGGCGCGCAGCTCTGTCCGATCTATGCGCCGCGATGCAAGAAGGCGCCCCCCCCCCCCCGCCTGCCCGACCGCCGGGCGCCCACGCGCACTGTGAGCCACACGGAGACGCATTTGGGCAAACGAGGGCATCCAAAAGGAGAATACGTTGAACGTTTTAACCTGAGGATGGACGAACCCAGAAACTACATACATTCTTAAGCATGGCCTCTGAGGCCCTGTGTAATCTGCTCTCGAAAAATGCACATTAATTTTGTTTTTGTATTTTCAATATATTAATTTCTTAATAATTTTAATAAACTCAACTCTTAATGTTAAACAAATTACTTCTTTGAATTATTTATTTCATTAACTATTAATTTGCATTTATATGAACGCTGATGAAAATTGACAAATTTTGAAGTCCTGTATTTGACAATTATTTTGCGTTGGATTACCCGGGAAACCAATTATCAAAACAATGTGAGAACCAATTCTGAGTTGAATGAAAAGAACTCATAAACAAATTCGATGTTAAAGAAGGTAAACCTTAATCTGTATTAAAGAACGTATAACTGTTGAAAAATGTACCATACGTTAATGATCTTTCTGTTCTCAGGGAATGCATCCAAAGCTAATGCGTTTTTTAGGTTTCAATGCTTTTGTTCAGATTTAATACACTTTCTGTGGAAAGAAGTGAATAGCAAACTATTAAATACATGTTAAATTAAACATTTTGTTTAGTTTTCAGAATGTCACGGATCTGCAAAGGACGTTCTTCAGAATGAATGGAAAATGTTCTAGAGAATACATCTTCAGCTCACAAGAAAAACAATCGTTCATTTTTTATGAAAGTTGTGAAAATTTGGTTTTAGAAATTTAAATTTGTTATTTCTAATGTATAGATGTAATGTATAATGTAAAGTCTTGGTCAATATGGAGCAAAAATATTTGCACATTTCTTCATAACTAACCTTTTAATTAAAACATTTAAGTATGTTTTGATTACCGGGTTGTCGACTTTCCTGAAACTTTGTCCTAGCCAATACTTCAGATAATGGATTTATTATACACATTTAATCATTTTTAAATTTAATATTTTTACCCTGATCTTCAAACGCATTCAATATAGCAATGCATCAAATGATGAATAAATGAACAACATTACTAATAAGAATAATAGTAGTAAAGAAGTAATTAACACAAAACTCTTCTAATTTAACTTATAAGAATATCAGTTGATCAGATTTAATTATAGACAGACGGATGAAGTTTTATTGGAGTAATGTAGCAAAAAGAAAAAAAAAAAAAGAATCCTAGTAGTTATTATACTGAACTTTGTAAAATTATCTAAGGGAAATTTAAGTTGTAAAGACTTAATATTAATCCGTTATAAAGGAGCAAGAAAGTTTTCACATTCAATTAATACAATTGACACAAAATAATACGGACTTCCGAGGACAATAAATGATGAACTGTTTCTGGAATTGAAATCAGCTCCAAAAAACATAATGGACTAAAGTAAATTAAATAAGATATAGATAATTAACTTCAGAGTTCGCGATGTATTAACAAGCCACTAAAGATATATTTCATCTTTTGTAAAATTTAAAAGGTAAGCAAATGATAATTGTGTGATGGTTATAAGTCTTAAGAGCAGGAAGCCAAAGAATAAGTCAGTTTGCAATGTAAATTGCAAGAATTGTTATTGTCTTACAAGAATTGTTATTTATGTATCAAGGGTGATACGTATATGTTGGCAATCGCAAATACAAACAAAACTTTTTGTTTTACTAGTTCGTTGCTGAAGCAAACGTGAATTCGAAATATTTTATAATTTTTCGTGCGTCTAAAGAGAAAAGACGCATTCAAACTGTCATTTCTCAACATCAAGTCAAATAAACAAAATCTAATATGTATCTAAATACTACTGCATTCTCGTTGGACTGATTTGTTCGTACAAAATGTAAGAATATTGTGAAGGCACTATGCAAATACTCACAGAAGATAGGAAAGCTACGGACAGTATTTTCCAGTAAAATGTCCAGAAATATATGAACATTTTATGGTGTATTTGAGAGTTACAGTGGCTCTCAAAATTGAACGTACACCTTTACTGTTCACCTGTCATGGTAACATAAATCTTCTCATGAATATTTACGGAAATAATATGTAGTTTTAATATCTGAGGTTTCCTGGAAGGGCAGTTGCAATTTGAAATCACAAAATTGCTTTATTAAGTGTAAAATTAAATAGTTTGTGTGATAACTACAAGTGTTGTACAGAAATGAATGTACATCATCTCTAGCGCGCGTTGAAAAGTACCTGTTAAAATGTTTTCTTGGGTACAAAGTTGATACAAACAGATTAGTTGATCGTCAGATGTGCAGTGAGCGTCATCGTATTAAAAATTGCCCCGTAATGGAAAAGAAGATGGAGATTATTGTGAATTTATCCATGAGGGCTCTAAGAAGTATTGCGGTGACCTCATTCTACTATTCAAGGTATAGTAGACCAATTCAAGTACGATGGCAGATTAAATAATAAAACAGGCTGAGGCCAAATTCCGATTACCAACTATCTAAGTAACTAAATAAATAAAAAATAATAAATAATTAAAAAAATAAATAAGTCTTTATTGATGGCGAGACACAGGTCATTTAGCCTACTCATACGCAGGACCATTTTCAAAAACAATTAATGATGAATTAATGAAAAAAAGGTCATTCAAAGAGATATACGTACGCAATTCCGACACTCAACGAACTCAATGAAAAATAAAAAATATTGTCAATAACAACAGCAGAAATCCTCGCTAAAGTGTTGTTAAAACGACTTCGTGGGTGTTTTCAACAAGGAAAACTGCATCTTCAGAAACTGTCCGAAAGGTACTACTTCGTAGACGTAGGTTACGACGGGAGAGAAGCGAAGAAAGAGCCTTGGACGTGTAAGGCAAATCTGCATAATATACTGCAGTTCGCGAAACATTACGAAAATCACGAAGCAGCGCATCTGACGAGAGCTTTTCTGGGAAGACGTGCTTTCGAAGGGGTGGCTTTCGTACCGTCGATGCGCGGCCGTCAGAGCAGGGCTTCGCGAGGCATGGGCCCGGGGCGACGGCCAGTGAGGCACAAGAGGGCACAAACGAGCGACACGCGAGTGACGCGACGTGATGCCGCGGGCGCGGTCGATACGCACGCGCGTGCGGTGCTGGAGACGCGTGCGACACGGGTGGCGCGCGGGCGCGCGTCGCCATCCCTCATCCTATCTCGTTCGCCTCTCGGACGACTCGTGGTGCAGTGATGAGGTCGCTCGTCTTGCACCTGTGGGGGCCGGGATTCCATTCCCGATTGACTTTTATGGAATTTGCGGTGAACTAAGCGGGTTCGTCGCGTGTTTCCGTCGCCCCTTTCATTTAATCAACATTAAAATCATATTATCAGCTACCTATCAAATTCTTTTGAAAAAATCTCCGCAGCGTCGTTGACCAGGATATCCTAGGGTTTTAGTCTCGACGGTGGTAAATTTGCGATTCCAAATTTTTATTTATTAGCAATTATTTCATCCAGTAGAGACGTCTATAATTACAACACATAACGTAGGAATTACATTTATCAGGGGTTAGAATCAACAGCTTACTTCTATTCACAACAAATTCACATATCACAATATTTTACAGCATATTTCCGATTAAAATACACACACAAGTTTAAGTGCCGAGTAAAATTTTTTGAGCAGCGCATCTGTTTCTCAACAATTAGACACTATTACGAGTATCAATAAGGAAATAATAATTAAACAATGATACTTAATACATTGGTATAATTTACGATGGTGCCATTTGTATAGTATAAATATAAAAGACACATCATGCCTTTAAAAAGTATTTTAGTTCAGGTTCTGGGCCAACGGTTTCCATGCCGACCATTTTTTTCGACACTTGATCTATTATTCATTGATCTATTGAGCAAAAGCTGAGATAGCCGTTTGTTTTGCTTCTGTAGATGTCTAGTCTAGATAGTCTACTACCTTGCGCAATATATTCCCTAGCTGCGCGGGTTTTCTTAGTCTTTGTGAAGTGTTGGTGAAATCTCAATTGTCGTTAAAAATAATTTTATTACAGAGGTATTATTATCATTAAATCTTACAAAAATAATTTCTTTCAGATTTCTAAAAACTCAAGCACGAAAAACCGAAACCAAAAAAATTTGAACTGATGACGCATAGCTTAAACGGAAGAATTCCTATTTTAAAACAAGATGCCTGGTTTGAAACATCCATTAAAGGGTGAGCATGTTAGGACAAAAAATCTATGAAGAATACGTTTGTTTCTTATTTTATAATTTTATATTACCTCTACTTTTCGTTTGATTTTGAAAATATTTCATTGCCCGCGAAAAGGAATGAAAGGCAGATGTTATCGTAACTAACCTTCAATAGTCCCTCTAAGTTTCCAGATGCGCAGAAGATAAGCCACCCTTCCATTGGTACATACCTGCAAACAAGAAAAAAAATTGTAAAAACATCCGCAAAACCCGATGATAGCATCCAACCAAAAAGAAAGAAAGGTGATGATTTACAATATCAGTAGTAGATCTGTATTTTTCTCTTTATATTATTCTGAATCTCTATTGCAATACACAAAGAGTACCAAATAGATTCAGAACCTACACTGTGAAATATGTTCGCATTGTGGTGCTGTTTGTGCCTCTGAGTTTTAGAGCGCTCGGAAATTAGAGATGCATTGCATGTATTCGTGTGTATAAACATCCGTTGCGTGTATGAGAATGTATGCATGCACTCATGCAAAAACTAGGAAAAATTCTCGTTTATGATCTAGTGCATTCCTATGTACACTTAAACGAACGTTCATACAACAAAGTTGTCTTTCACTCAGTTGAACGTTCAAGAAAGATATCTTTCTTGAAAATTTATACATAATTAAGAATCAATAATCCACAATATACCATAACGATGCAATAAGAATTTCATTTATTATTATTTATTAATGAAATACGTGGATTTCAAAAACTTTCATTATTATAAATGAAAGATAATTGTTCTTAGTTTTGAAATTGTAATATTAGTTTGAATATATGATCATTTACTTATTGATGCAGTAATTTGCCGCTATCTCTTATGTCAAAACCTCAATTGCAGAAGACCAACATTTTGCACGTGTTTACCCTTTCAAAAATAACAGTGACAAATATGTACTCTGATAACTTGTTTCTTCATAGGTAAATAATAACAAAAGTTTTGAACATTTTCATTATTGTAGATTCACTTTATAACTGATAGTATTTTAAAATATAAGTTTACAAGTCAATTGGTTATATTAAGCCATCTTCTCATTCCCAATGTTGTCATTTTTATTAACAAACTAAAAATCACTAAGTTGTTTATACGAAACAGGAAGGAGTAATGGCAAAGTAGACTATCAAGTCAGAGAAAAACATTTTCTCAGATGTTATTGTCTGTAGTACTTGCATTTTACTCTTTATATTTTCACGAGCAGAGTTTGCAAGCTCGGTCCTGTTAGCAGAAATGATCAATAGCGAGTTATTTGTTGCTGTACTTAAACTATCAGACACAACTTTACAAACGAGTTAAATTAATGTTACCATAAAAATGATAACATAAAATCGTTGAGCATTGAAAAAAAATTTTATTTGAAAAATAACTATTGATAGACAGTATGTGCCTCGTTTGTTTTCTGAGTTTTGTAGTCAAAAAAGAAATTCAAGAGTTCTTAGTTTTCCGTTGCATTCAGAATATCATTATTAAAATTATTTTTATTTCGATCAAGAATCTTCGCAATTTAAAAATGCCACATGAAAACTCAGAAAAAAGTTCTTTAATTTGAATAAAAAACAAACTGGAATGGAACAGGTACCTTAAATGGAACGTGTTTACCAACGTAGAATACCTGTACTGGGGGCGAAAAGAGCCAAATCGTGCCTCGTAAGTTTTTTCTTGAAGTGTCTTCTTCCACCGCAAAAATCTGGCCTGGACAAATCAGAGAAGACCCGCCCCTTCAATACTGAAAGCATAACCACCTACGCCGGCGGTTAACTAGAGCGCCTCAGGGCCTACCATACAGAGGTTACGACTCAACGAGCCGAGATCTCGGCAGAAGTGCTCATTTCCGAGACGATATTAAACAGATAAGCCGGCGGCCGAATGAAGCCGTTAGGCGGCGAAACGTTTTTAAGGCGCCCTCGCCAGTTATTCGCCGCCAGGCGGGGCGCAGCGGCGGGCGTGAGAGCGGGCTCGGCCTGGGGCGGGGGAGGGGTGGGAGCGGGGTGGGGGAAGAGTGAATGGGGGAGCGCGCCCTCGCACGCCCCGGACCCGAAGATGGCGCCCACTGGAAGACTTCGCGCCGTGACCTCGGCGGCTTCCTTGGATCGATGCGCCATGACGTCACGCGGGCTGCAGACTGCGAGGCGGCGCGCACACCCGCACCTCCGCCACGACGCTCCCGGTTCTTTCGGCTTTCTCTTTTTACTCCCGACTTGTTCAGTTCTCTTTCTGCCCTCCCTCCCTTCCTCGTCCTTACCTCTCTTCCTCTCCCTTCCTCTCTCACCCTTCTCCCCTTTCTCACCATCCCTCCCTTTCTCTCCCTCTTTCCCTCTGTCTCTCTATCCCTCCCTCCCTTTCCCCTCCTTCTCTCTACCCCTCTCTTTTCTAACACTTTTTATCACTCTCTTGTTTTCTTCACCCTCTATTCCCACTCTCTTCTCCGGTCTCTACCCAACCTTGCTCTTCCTATTTTTTTTCACTCTCCCTCTATCAACCATCTCTCTCTTCTAAACCCTCTCCTATCCTCTGCATATATCATCTTTTCTCTACTCTATTCCAATTCTATTTTCAGATCTTTTCCTACCCTCCCTCTTTCTCTATTTTCTATCTCTTCTATCTTCCCCTTATCCATTGCTCGCTTTCTTCACACTTTCCCTCTTCCAGCACTCCCTTTCCTCTCCCACCCTTTCACTCTCAATCCATCTTCTGCACACTCTCTTCCTGCCCGTTCCCTGCCAACTCTCTCTCCGCACTCTATCTGCAAACTTTTTAAGCTTCGTCTGTGGGGTTACCCCCGCATTCCCTCTCTCGTCTCTACTCCTTCAATTTGACTCCATCGACTCACGAACTCCATGTCATTACCAAATGCGTTATTCTCACTTTCATTCTTCGTATAGTAAACCTCTCTTCTCGTATAGTAAACCGCTACTGTCCCTCTCTGTTTTTGCCTCTTCACTGTTCTGTATTCCACGCATTTGAACAGGAGCCCCTTCCGCTTTCCCTTGCGTAAGAAAAGTGAAGAAATTGCCACGGTGATGTAACTGCAAAAGCAGAAAGAAAATAGATATGACTGCTGAGTCCCACTTCGAGTGCTGCGGGTGGTTGCTGTAGAAGTAAATCTGTGGACAATGAATTGCAAGGAACACGAAACGAGGACAAACTTATAGTTTCCGTGTTTCCTTCCTTCTGCAATTCGCTTCATTTCGAAACAAGTAAACTGGTATGTAGGTCCAATATTTTATTGTTTCCACGCGCATTAATTTCCTTTTTAAAGGATAATTTCAGTAACTCTAATCAGGAACATACTAATAACTACTGATGATTGTTATTCAAACAGTCTTTTTGTTATTAAACAATTTTCTAACTCAGCGGATAAGCGCTTTGCAAGAGATAAGAGAGACTTTGTTACTTAGTACAGTATTTACATCTATTTACTTATAATATTTACAAAATTACAAATACATTATTTTCATTACATTTTAATCTTCATGTATTGAATAGATTCTTCGGGGAAGACAGTAGTTGAAATCATTTTTAAGAATGTTACACTTTTTTTGATTCCTCACAAAACAACAAGACAGTTTCAATATTTAGTTGTCATTTTTGTTTTCGCCTACACACAGTAAAATACATGGCATAATAAAAGTTATGTAATGCTTCAGAAAATGAATGTCGAGATATGGAAGCAGATGAGAAGAGAAACAATTCTGACGTCCAAAAATATTTTTTTTCAAAATATCTGTCCGTCCGTCTGGAAATAGCAATTGCACGAAAACATTTCATACGGTTTTTCTCGATTCCAGGCCCTGCGAATTTTTTAGTGGCTTCATTTGCTATTTAACACAACACATTTAAATATAAATACAAAGATGGAACTGGTCTTGTTCACAATATTACATATGAATTTAAAAAATACTAATGTTTTAAATTTCTTGAAACCCCTGATGCAACTTCATTATTAAAAAAAAGTATGTTTTTATTTTTCGCATAATCTTACATAGTATTATATGCCGCGGCGAAAAAGAGAGATTTTCAGCAGTAAACGTGGTATTGTAGGTTCTTGACATTGTAAAAGTGGATAATTATTTATACTATATGGATTATATTACTTCCTCTAACAGAACCTGTAGTCAGAAACCACATTTTGTGGGTTCTAGATATCAAAAAATTTCTAATCAGCAAAACATCAGCCCGTCTGTCTGTCCGTCCGGCATTTTAAAAATATTCTAAAAAATCCACCTAACAATGTACGCTTATAAAAATGGCACAGTTTTAACTTTCGTTGAATTCCCTCAATTCTGAATTCTCAAAAACTCCAAGAGTTTAAATTTTCGGCGCCTCCTTACAACTAAAATATCCTCACAACTACAATAGATTAAATTAAAAAATATTTTTAATATATCTTTAAATAAATTTATGTATAAAATTTTAAAAATATGAATAGTTTTCGCATAACTTTGCGTGCAATAAAGGCAATTAAAAATGTATTAAAACATTCTCTCAATATGAATATTACACGACAGAAAATTTAACCATCTCAACCATGAAGATCTGTAAGTATTATACTCTACATTTTTTGTTAAGTTAGTTAATTTTGAAAACATTTTCGTCATGAGTGGGAGATTGAAATATTTTAAAGGTAAAGAATGTTGTTGATCTTAAAACCCTGACCCTTTCATGATCTGTGGACCTGGTGGATAACCGTGTGTGAGATTTCTGTGCTATATGCCTTTGCGCGTAATTGTTAAATTGAATTCCTTGAACAACGGCAAAGACTCCGATTTAGTAGAACGGGCTACCGTGTGTATATATGTAATGGTTCATGATTTAAGTAATGAACAAAGAAGAACCTATGGGTTATGTCTGCATGGTGTTTGGAGAGCGCAAGGGACCTCTGAGCTGAAAATTGCCCTCAGGAGAACAATAGGTTCCGCCAGAGCACTGGTAGGTTTTTTAGGGCCTGTAAATGGCGGCTGGCAAGAGGGTAAGCAAAACCACAAAAGCTACTCTCGGCTCAAGCAAATCAGAATCTAACTGACATGAGAAAGTCTGTGCTATTCTGTAGCTCTATGAGTTTATTTTGGTAATAAAAAATTAAACGTATTCATGAATACAAATAGGAAGTATGTAATTGTTTATTTCCTACTCTCATTGGCGTTGAATTAATTAGAGAATACTTATTTTTTACTAAAAACAAACGGATAACAACAAACACATTAATAACAAACCGACCACGGACCATCATTTTTTCCTCTTCTTTGTTCTATATTCACCCTTTACATTTTACACACACACTACACAAAAACCTTTCACGCACTACACTACCACAGACACGCTGAGAGACCAGTCAGGTGCTTAGATTTGGTCCCGGCTGAGGCGGTGCTCTGCTGTTGGGAGGTACGTGGTTGGAAAAAACCGGCAAGCCGACGTTTAGGTCGGCGTCAGATCTCACCATCCGGTAAGAAAATATCACTAATACCTTCCGTGATAAAAACGGCCGCTCCACTTACTAGGCAAATGATCTTAGCAGTTGACGCACCCGGATTCACTAACCAATCATTCTTTGAAACAGTACCACTTGCGCACATTAATGTATGTACGTGAAACATTAGAGATAGTGTAAGTAAGAACAAGGACCTAACTCGGTCGTACGAAACAGAAGCCTTGCGGATGAAATTAAAAGTGCAAAGCTCCTTTTCGAGGAACGCAACGCAGGTCGTAAGATAAGAACAGGAAACGAAGCAGAGAGAAGGAAACGAAGTAGGAATGTTCTTGGAAGAGCAAGTAAGAACTACGACCTAACAGGATCGTAGCAAGCGGACGCCCGGCAGAAGCGAGAGACAAGATCTTGGCGGAGGGCGCGCAAATAGCCAGGCGGGGATCTGCGCGCGAGGGGCGCGGCGGCGATGGGGCGACGTGGGCGGCGAGGGAAGGCGTCTCCGGCGTCGGGGCACGTGGCCGCGCCAGTAAACACCGAATAAACGTCCACGGAGGGCGGCAGCGACGACGACGGCGTTGGTGGGGACGGTGACGGTGAGGATGGCGGGGAGGATGACAGTGATCACGATGACGGTGACAGTGACGATGACGGTGATAGTGACGATGATGGTGACGCAGATATGGACTCTGACGCTGATGATAACGATGACTGAGATGATATCAGTGGCGACGGTGATGTTAACTATGTAATTGATTGAGTAGTGTTTCTGAGAACGGCAACTGATATGATTATTAGTCCCGTTACTGTAGTGTATTTGTATCTCTGGAGGCTGAGGTAGTCCTTCCCCGGAAGAGGATGAGATCCAGTTCCACAACCTACGTGTCTGCATTCGAGGGAATTCTCCTCTATGCATCTCCCACAACATTTCCTCGCCCCATCTGGGATAAGCTCTATGTTTCCGACAAGTCTCATACCATGCGTAGTAGTATTATGCGAGTAAATGTATAGGTATATAATTGGAGGAAATAGGACAAGGAAGAGGAAGGAAACATCGCACGCAGTACGTGGCCTATTTCGTAGAGCACCGTTCTGCATTCACCTGACATTGATTGGAGAAAATACGGAAAAATACCGATCAGAGCAGACGTCCGCAAGAATTCTTTTCAAGACCGCGGTTGGATGCGTCTTCGTTTCATATAGCTAGTTTCGAAAATAGTTTAGCGGAGTTTTTAGAGGCGCAAATTTCAGGATTTCTTTTCACGAACGCAAACCCTGGACCTCCTGGTCACAGTGGCTGCAGATGTAACGGAAATGCTGGCTCTTGGCAGAAGGCTCTCTGAGGAAAACTAAATGAGTTGGAGGTTTAGGTGGAGGTGGAGGTGGAGGTGGGGGCGGAAGTGGAGGTGAAGGTGAAGGCGTCGGAAGCGGCAGCGGAGAGGGCCGGGGGTGGGGGCAGCGCCAGCGTCGTGTGCCGTATCGCAGCCCGGGGGCTGAGGGGTGGCGTTTGCCTTAAGCCGCCACACGGCGCTTCCAGGCACGCGCCGACCCTCGCACGACGGGCGCACGTGGGACGCTAAGACAGGTCCGCCCTCTCCAGCGCCCCTCCGGCCTCCGCCCGTTTCTTCGCTAAACGCCGCTCCGCCCTCTGCCCCCTCCACGTTTTCTATACACATAGCAATCAAATCTCGAAGAAAGTACTTGTATAAAATACATCTCAAACACTATCACCTACCACTACCCCTACCACAATTCACAGCTTCACTCATCCATTCAGAGCTTTTACAAGGCTGTTCTCACTAGCATCGCCGTATTTTTATTTGACCCTGCGATCTGCAATGCCGTCGACCACCACTGAAAATACTTCTATAACAATCACTATCATATTTTTCTCTACCACCTCTACGTCTCATCTTATCGTTATTTTAGTATGTTATCTATACTCAGTCTGTAACATTACTGTCATTGATTCTGACACGTTCTCAACTTGAAAGTTCATAGAAAGTATATCCATCCCAAACGCTCTTTCAATAAGCAATTCATCAATTCACTGGTTTCTTCATTCATTTAGACTATTTGCTTACATGACCTACCATCGCACAGTGCTTGCATTCTATGCCGCAAAATACTGATAACTACCTTTTATTTCTCCTGGCCATATTTTTTCACACTTTCTCGATCTCAACTTTCAGCAGCAATTTTCTTCTAGGACGATTGTATTCGGATTTTAAAGACATTTTGAAGTGACAAGTTTTATATAATCTCCTGTTTGTTGTATGTCTGACGACGCCAGTTACTTAACCAGTCCTTATTTAATAGTACATACAGTGATGAATTTATTAATAAAAAATATATTCTTCGTTCAATGAAATGAAGAAAAATAAGATAAATAAACATAAATATCAGATTAAAGATGTAAAAGAGAAAAGGCGATAACGAAGTAAAAATTTAATTGAGTCATACAAGAATTTTTAAATAAAATACACAGGGAGACTTATTTTCTAAAATTCTTCCATCTAAATATCACAATGCGTGGGGAAAATGCTACTTTCTTATATCTCATTAGAGGCACCACATTTATGAAACAATACTTATACATTAAAACAATGTTTTTTTATTACTTTTTCATTTCATCGTGCAGGAGCATGTGTATATTTTTTCAACTAAACGTCGACACAGACACAGCAATAATTCATTGTCCCTCTTCCTGATGGCACCAAAAGCTTGAAATGAAGCCAATGCGGCCACTCGAGCGCGCTAAAAAATTGCGTAGACCGTGCTTGCACATTGAATACACACACAGTGTTTTCGCTCGACGTGCGTGAGACAGCCAGTGCGTGATGACACGATGGAAATGGCACGACGCAACGGCACCCGTCACGCGCACGTGTGTGCAGAGGCGATCGCTCACGACTGTCACGCGTGACACTGCTCGTCGGCGACATCAGCGTGACACGCGGCACCGACAGCGAACGTAGCTCTCGCAGCGAAATATAATTAACAGAAATTGTGAAACCTCGCGCGTTGTACTTTCTAGCAAATCCGTACGGTGGCATTTCATGCGAAGAAATAATATGAGAAACTAGGACTTTCTGTTTGTTCGTTATAATGAAATACGTCATTTAAATATACGCATATATTCAAAAGCAAAATGCAATCTTGATAAAATGACAGGAATACTGACCAAATATCAAATTGGTGAAATATGTAAAAGAACATCTCAACACACGGTCTGCAGGTGTCTACGTAATCTGTAAATTGCAATTATCGAGAACATTTATGCAAAATTGTTAGCTGTTTCTGATTTTACGTGGCATAAATCATCACTTTGTATTGATTCAATAATTAAATATTTAACAAACAGGCATAGAGACAGACATTTATACATGAATGATATAACATTAGCGTATTCATGCGGATGAGATATTAAATTACAAACATAAAGTGTGTTAAAGTATTTTAATTGGGTAAAAATTGCAGCGATGTTGAGAAAATTACAGTTTAATACAAATTCGAGAGTTTAGAATTGTGTTGTTTTCTCAGTATTCATGCAAGAAATTTAAAATCTAGCATATAATACATAAAAAGATAACATTGTTGTTAAGTGCACAGTTACTTCATGGGTCTCACTAATACTGTATGATCTAAGTAATTAATGGATGAGCTTTTCAAAAAGAGCTATAATAGTACATATAGAACATTTCAGCCCACGTTTTGTAAAAGTTTTTCCTGAAAATGATTCAAAACATTTTTCATTAGAAGACGTATACTTTGTAGACTTTAGTAGAGAGATTTAAATGTTTAACACAAGCAAGCAATATCCTAGTTTCACGTAAATAGGAAGAAATTAACATGAAAAAAATTATCATTACAAACAATTATTACTGATGACTTGCGTTAGTCAACATAAATTGTCATTTTCATTATCTTTCTCAGTTAAAGTACTTAAATTGGCATCCCTATCGTCTTACGGCAATGTTTAAAATTATGCAACACCATCTATAGCTATCTTTAGCCAAGATCACAGGTCTGTGCTTTGCTTCCAAGCATTCTACGATATGTTTAAGGTTTCAATATGAATGTGTGGGAGTTTTACAAGAGGATAACTTAATGGGAACCATGAATTATTTTTTTTTACTTCTAGATGTTTATCTGAGGTGAAGGATCCTTAAAAGTAATTCTCAGAGGACGAATTTTATCAACAATCTTTTGCCATCTCAAACCCAAAATAAGAACATGCAACCATTTATTGACAATCGTTTCGAACATACCACTACGTGACTTTTGGCTACCTGCTGTAGACTTGTCTCCATCCTGGTGACCAACCACTACGTGACTTTTGGATTCGGGCACATTATAACGATATTAATTATTTTTTGTTCTGTTAGCAGTTACCGAATTCTTATTTATATTTTTAAGCCAATGAGGGGGAATCAAAAATTGTGTTTAAAGAAAAAACAGAATTTAGAACTTTATTTCTTTTCACCATAAATAGTCACTAAAATAATAAAATCCTTCTCTCTGTGTGTTTCTTTTCAAAGAGGTTACGTAAAGGATGAAATTAAATATGTATTAAAACGAGATGTTATAATAATTCTCCAAAGAGAACTTGACATATGATATAGAAGTTGTTAATTGCAGCTGAAAGTTATATTCATATTCATCCTATTTCAACTCACCCAAATTTTCACTCTTTGCCCTGGCTTCTCGTGCGTGATAAGGTAATGCATCTATTCCAGCATGCACACGACCCGTGCAGTCAGTGAGCCCTTTGCCCTGCAACTTCCAGCGCATTTTGCTCTACGGCGGCACATCGGGCACTGGCACGCTCTTCGTGGCAGAGGCGGGAACGATGGGGAAGGCGATGGCCATGACGGAGTTGGAGGGGTGGGGTACGGCGGTGGCGTTACTGGACTGGTGGAGGTGGCAGTGGAGGGGGTAGTGATGTGGAACGGAATTGTGGAGGGGGCGGATGGTGGTGGCAGCGGAGGCGTTGTCAGGGGTGGTAGTGATAGAAGTGGCGGGGACGGCGACTGAGGCTTCGGCAGTTGTGGTGGTGGGATGGATAATGACGGTGGAGCCTGCAGTGGTGTTAGTGGTGGTGGCGACAGTCACTGGGCAGGGCCGGGGAATGAACGGTGGTGTCAGCGATGGTGGCGGCGTGGTGGATGGAGCGTGCGCAGGGCTGGACGGACGTCGAAAGCGGTGGCGGCAGTTGGGACGGGGGGAGGCGGTAGGAGAAGGGATAGTGTGTGTAGGGCAGAATTGAGAAAATTGAGGTGGGAACGGGGCAGGAAAGGATGAAAGGATGTTGGTCTCGGCGGTGGTAGTGATAGCGGAGGGGGAAGCGCCGGCAGGGAAAGAGGCATGGCCATGTCGGGGAGAGGGGTGGGTCGGAAGCGAGGGAAATGGCGGCGTAGGCAGTAATGCCGCTCGTGCAAACACGGCCGCAATCTCGAGATTGGCCCGCCAGGTGCGTTCCCTCTCGCCCCGCTCCCCTTCTCCTTCCCCTTCCCTTCCACCTTCCGCCATGTACTGCTACACCTAGCGTCCTATCTCGCTGCAACCCCTCACTCCACAAAGCGTGCCCTCAAGGCGCTCCCACCACCCCGAGGTCAAGCTGCTTCCATCGCTCTGATTTGCTTCTCACCCTTCGATGCCGCGCTGGGGAACCGCCTGCGCAAGCTTGCCTTCACCTGCAGCGTGAGCTCACTCCCACGGAGTGCATTTCCCATTGCCTCCTTTACCCACACACACATTATCAACATACTACAGTCTGCGGCCCTTGTGTTATCACCATACGTCGCTGCCATGTATATTTGCAGGTAGCTCAGAGCAACAAGTGATGTGAGTGCAGTGCCTCTGATCCGGAGGTCCTAGGGCTGAAGTCCCGACGATAGCAAGAGTTTTTACACTAGCTAGAGCTCGGTCGAGTTCAGCCGCTGTCTGGAGGATAATTCTAGATAATTAATAATAATAATAATAATAATAATGAATAAATACTTAAATAATTAATATTACGGAATATATGTTCCCAATCAACTCTCCAAGCATCAGGTGAAAAAATGCATGCGGATTCAAGCTCAGAGCCTTTCATCCTAGGCAGCGCGCTTTCCGCAACTGCCGTTCGCGTAAGGGAGGTGTGCGTCCCACACTCATCCCCAATGCAAATCTGGCGGTTGCTCCTCCCACTTTCCCATCTCCTCGGCCGACGCCGCTGCCCTCGGCTCCAGCCGCAGGGCCGGCCGGGGCCGCCTCTCGCCGCTCATTTGTGTAATGGGCTGCCCCGCCACCGCCCACTCTCGCGCGCTCCACCTGCACTGGCGTTCCACCTTGCGCTTGCCGCCGGCGGCGGCGCGGGATGCGCGAAGTGCGATTATTAAAAGCTGCTGCTGCTTACAAGGCCTGTCTCGGAAGTTTACGATTTAGAAAGCGTGATTATACTCTCAGTCCGTTAGTTTCGCATTTGTATACGCTTTTACTTTATAAAATATAAAAGGGAAAATGTATCTTTCCCACAACATATAGAAGTATATATTGCAGTATATGACGATTAAATTTTTTTTTGTTAGCGGATTTTTCCAGCTTTACTGGTTGCTGATTTGGACTATCCGCGCCAGGTACCCACAGTGCCCTCCATGGGAAGACATGTTAACCTTTTATTGCGGGCTCCTCGGTCTGTGGCCAGCAGACTCACAATGCCTTCCGCAATGACAACACACATACACGAAAGGCAAGGGACAAACAATAATAATGACGGCAGGATATGAATTCGCGACCCTTTGGACCTAGGCGCTGAGACGGCACATGCTCTCGCCACCTCGGCCATCCAGGTCGGAATTAAAATTATTTATTAGGTTTCAATTTCTATTTCTTGATTTAATTTACACGTTTTCTCTACGAGACGTTTAATATTAGAAATATTTTCACTAGTAATAGTTCTGTCTTTCAACATTAACTGAAGACAAAGGACATTCTCAAAATATTTTTGTTACTTTTACATTTTTTATCTAGTGTCGCGTGTAATTCTTACAACCTTTTTCTTAAATGTGACAATTATTTGTTTCAAATAAAATATTCATAAATTCCCATTCACAAATCATTCTCATGCACGTCTTAATAGGATGGTATATTCGAAAAACAGGGTTACTTGGGAATACATATATTTAAAACTTTTACATATGTAAGTATCGCTATATTGTCCAACATATACAAAAGTTTCACTACATGCGGGATAAAACCTCTACCCTCTCAAACAGCGGCCGTGGGTCGGATGAGTGCGGGGATGCTCGGTGACACAGTTTGCACAGGCGCAGCAGCTCTTGCAAGTGACCTCATTCACAAGCGCGTGCTCTGCACTTGCCGTGCGTTTTCCACCACCTCGAGAACGAACCTCTGTTATCTCGCCAACGCGACCGCGCAACTGCTCCTTTGGCCTCAAGAGAGCACTTGGCGGACGGGGCCTCAATGCGCCCTTCAGGATCTGTAGTATTGTTCTCACGGGGTCGTGTTTCGGGCAAGATGACTCTTAGGTTTCCGATGCCAGATGCTGGTCTAATTGTACCAGACGAGTAAACGCTCTATGGCACAGACAACTCAATATTATTCTCTTGGATTCAAACGTTAATAAAAGAACAACAGTCGAAATTTACAAAAATATTTTCAATACTTCTTTTTTTATTAAACAGGTATGTTGAAATTCAAGTGAAGACAATTAATTAGGAAAGGCTATAGAAATGAATAACTGGCTTAGATGATGTAGACTGAATTCAAGACAATTCAATATAAGTACATCCTAATGTAACTTATACAGATATTCAAGTCCATTACGATGGTATTGATATTTATGGAGGATAATCGTCGGTGAATTAAAGAAAACGTCAAAATGTTGAATTCAAGAAAAGGAGGGAGATCAAACGAGTTGATAACGTAATGAGTAGGGCAGAAGAGACAAAAGTGTAGACTTGAAGTGTAGATGATTAGAAAGGCAGGAAGAGAAAACACGATATTGCAATACAGTAATAAAATTCCCTAAAATATTACAATTTATTTGATGCGCGATGAAGCAGAATATTTTTACATTGGTCGTACTGTTTTATTTGTCTGAGACGAATAAAATTATGTTTGAAATCAGGTGGAATATTCTAATACCACAAAAATTGTTTTAAAAATTAGCGGTTTCCTTATTATATAATTATTTTACACAATTTAATTTACATTAAATGCATATATATATAATCATTTTATAAAATGATTAAGATTTTTGAAAGCATGTGGTAGATAAATAAAAAATGTGATAGATGAATTTATTTGCTTGGTAATAGGTATGTATAAGCAATATAAGATTTAAAACACATGCAATAATGCAAAAAGCATCTAGATTTATGCAAATCTATCTACCAACAATTTTAAACTGTATTTATCATCGAGGAAAAATAAAGAAATTTAGTAAGAAACATAAAAAAGTTATTGATTATTAGCACCTAACAATGGGCTTCGGTATGTAATTCAAAAACGAAATTCAAAATGTTTATTTTGATGTCGATCATACTTTCGAAAAGAGTACGACAATGCAATGATCATAGCAGCCATTGTAAAATAAATTACAGTTCGCTCAATGGCACGAATAGTCATTCAGAGCACAGTCAAAAAGGGAATGCCGTAATGAACGAAATTCAATGTCCTGAATTTTTCCCACAAACGTAAACGCAGAGAAATCCAGAATTGTAAAACTAAGGGACACACATTCCATTTTTTAACTGCGTGACACTATTCTAATGGAGTCGGATGAGAGTGTTTATAAACAGGAGAGAGCCCAACATATAAAATTAATTGAAAAAAGTGAGGATTATTGGTTTCCTAAATGAACAAAAGCAGCGACCGCGCATACGTTATGACGCGGCTTTCAAAGCGCCATGAATTGCAAACGGCGGCGCGGCGAGCGAGAACTGCGCGGCGCGCGGCGTGGAATTGAATTAGAGCGACAAAAACCGAGCGGCGAGGCCAGCCAACACTAGCACAGTGGCAGAGGGGGTCGAGGTAGAGATTATGGGGAGAGGGAGACGGTCAGAGGAGAAGATGGTGAGTGACGGTGACCGAGGGACGGAGGCTATTGGACAGGGGGTAGAGGGATAGGGGCAGATTGACTGTTTAGCGATTCCGGGAGCGTCAACTGCTATGCAACTTGTCGCATAAGTGTAGTGTGTGTTTTAGGTGGGAGTGGCTGTAATTTTCCCTGCTGAACGGTGAAAACCGACACAGACCTGCCTGTCGGCTGGGAGGGTTTTCTAAATCAGGCATCTCCTACCAACGGAGCACCGCCGCTACCAGGGCAAGCTCAAACATTCTGACCTGTCTCTCGGTATGTGAGGTAATGTAGTGTTTGTAGGTGTAAGTTTGTGTACGTCACGGGTGAGTATGGGACAAGTAAGAGGAAGGAAAGATTGCGCGCGGTCTGTGAACCGTTTTCTAAGGTATTGCTCCGAAATTAGCCTGGTATTTATAAAAAATTCGAATAAACTACCAGTCAGAGCAGCCGGCAGCTATAATTATTTTTCTGATAGTGACTTAATTTTCCCTAGATATGCATGGGTAGCAAGTGTCGAAAATCCTACCACCGGGACCGGAGGGGCGGAGGGACAGGGGCGGAGGGGCGGGGCGGAGGGACGAATTCGAAGGAACAGAGGCGAAGGAACGGGGCCGCAGGGACAGAGGAGAGGGGGTGGGGTTGAACGCTAATAATTTTTTTATAAATATATGAACATTTAGAATAGTTTGAGGCTATTTATTTTGTGAGTTAAAAGGAGAA